CATGTCTAGGAAGGATGCATGGAGAGATAAACATGCTTACTTGACAATTTTTCACCTGAAAATGCTACCAAAGTGCACAACTAAATCGGAATGCCTATATATGTAATACTAGACAAGGGTAATGACAGTCAAAAACCATTGAACTTACTGGAAACTATTATCTTGAAAATGTTGCTGAATGCTGTCTCTTTTGGTTCCTGGGTTACTGACTTCCGCCGATCTGCTCTTAATCTCAGAGTTCAATCAAGTTCAAAGACACAAGAATATCCAAAGATATAGGACCACTGTCCACCCATCACCCTCAGATACATTTTTTTCCTCTTCCTGCTGTTCTTTGAAACCTTGCCCCCCTGTTTCTCCCCCGTCCTGTGCTTGGTCTGGGGAGGTCTGCTTGGTCTGCTCCTACCCGAACCCAACAGAGCATGGCATCATCAAGGAAGTTGCACCAATAAACCCCCTGAGGTGACCAATACTGGCATTGGAGGCAGCAGAGGACTCTAGCCCCCAGGCAGCTGCTGCCTGAGGAGAACAGTGTAAGGAAGTAGGTAATGGGTTATAACCCATTGTAGTGGAGACCTCAAGCACTACAATTTTACAATTTCGCATATTGCAATTGAGGGAATAATCATCAAAGCGGCTTGTGCAGGTGCTGTATAGAGCTATCAGTGCCAGACAGCGTGCAGGGATTAACCACACAGTTGATTAAACCCTCTTGTGGGGGTAGCCTTGTGGGAATTGAACCAATTATTACCTCCCCACTTCAGGATGCCTGCTCCCAGTGTCCACAGTTCTGTTAAGCACAGATAAATTGCAGACAGACAAAAGGCATTACAGGAAATCTTATGTCTGTAATTTGCATTTTAAAATAGGGACTAAATGGTTTATGTTTTTTTTAATGTTTGCTGTTTATCTTTTGTTTTCTTTTTTATTGCAGCCTTTTTCCTTTTCATTCAACGGTCTGATACATTGCAGGGTAAGTGCTTCAGTGGCCTTGCACAAAGAAGCTTCTTTTACCATGTAGGTTATAAAGTGAAGGGCTCTCAGAGGCTAAATAAGAATATCAGTGTGCTCTTTTGGCTTAGGTACTCAAAGACCATATGCTGCAATACAGAACAATCCATTACTCAAGGTTGTTTTTTTATTTTTTATAAGTCTTTGGAAAGGAGGACAAAGTGACACTAAAGTGTGGGTGTCATTGTCACTGCAGAGGTGAGTTAATCCAGCGCTTTAACATTGCAGGGTCCTAGAGACATCCTAGAGACAGCAAGTCCAATCAAGTTCATGCACAAATGCAAAACTGATGGCCTCCATTTTTTATCTGTGTTATATGAACGTACAACTGATTACATATCTGAATAATAGTTACTTGAGTTACTTGAACTAATGCTTGCATTAAATTAACTGAACAATGTGAGCAAAGCTGGAATATATGATATGATTAAGAATGGAAAAAGCAACCAAATCAAAACAGTAAAACTACTGCTACTGAAGGAAATACAGTATGTGAATTTCTTCCATGTGGAATTCAACTCTGAACCAGATCTGATCCCCTACTTTGTTTCATTTACAATCAGGCCTTTCTGCCAAAGAAGGCAACTGCACAGTTGCATTTTGAATTCCCTGCGCATCAGCATCAGTGCTCCAGTGGCAGTTACGGTTGCCAACGCAGACTGTTTTCCTGGCTTGAGAGCAGATCATCTGCAATACAGATACAGTATGTCAGTGCTGAGCAGTGTTAAAGCCTTCAGTTCTCACCGTTCAGCTGTGCTTTTGTGTACGCCCCATTGATCAGATTCCTGGGCTCAAGGTTGTTAGATTTTATTTATTTTCTTTAGCATTTACTTCCTATTCTGCTTCTGCTTTAATACTCCAGCACCAGTGTAGCATTTCTGTCCACCAGCGACCCTGCAGCACCATCACTAATGTGAGTGCCAGCTGAATGTTCAGGCTTACTGGCCACCATAGTACAAAAATCAAACATTTCAGCCACCCTGTCTGTCTTTTCTTGTGAATGAGAAGCCATAAGCATTCATACTGTATACAAACCCAGGTTCTACCACACAAGAGAGAGAAAGTACTTCAGCAATGTATAACTTGAAAAATGTTCCCATTAAATACAACAATGATTTATCACTAAGGCTGAGATAAATGTGGTTAAAAAATGCATACTTCCTGTGTTATATGTGCTGAGTGTTATTTGTCATAGGTACCAGTGTAGGTCCCCTTGTCTAGTAGTAATGACACAAGTTTGGAAATAATTTGTTGTGGATCAGTTCTAACAACTCTTACACAGCCTCTCCTCACACAACTTCTCTGCAATCAAAATGCCATCTTTTAAATACTGAGGAGAGAAAAAAAGCTTCTCAATTTCTGGTTTTGTCGCAATATGAGGACAATTAGCAGTTCTTGGGCTATTGATAGCAGAGAATCGATATACAGTTGTGTGCAAATGCTGAAGCAGAAAGAAAAGAGATAGCTGCTCAGTGAATGCATAGATTGTGAGGAATGAGTCTGTAGTGGACCAACTGACAGTGGCCACAGTCGTTTTCCAGAACAGAACCACAAACACACATTTTCAAGCAAGTCGTGGCCATGTGACATTATTGAGGTTGAAAAATCTTTATGGTAATATGAAGTTAAGGTTCTGCATTATAATATTTAATGATACATTTTAGTGTAGGTTTATAAAGTGTTCCACATTTATGCCAACTTACTGTGCCTGTTCAGATGTATCTGATGAGCTCAATTTTTTTGATGGGGGTACCAGATGTACATTTACACAGGGGCTTGTTTCAGCATGAAGTGGTCATATGCAATTTAACTCCTCCTTGCTATTATTATTGTTGGAGATAATGGAATTTCACTGTATTTTGCGTTGTCCGTTTCATTTTAAAAATGTGCTCGCCCACCCACAAAGTAATGAGGCTCCTGTACTTCCGGAGGTGTCCTTGGAAACCAGCCTTTTATATCTCAATTAAACTATTCCCTCGGGTTTTTGTGTTTCCTTTTATTAAGGCTCTCATCAGTATAATTAAACACATACTCACACAGCATAGCCTTTTCCCCTATCTGGACCTTTGCAGGCTAACTAAAACACCATCCAACCTGCCAGCAGTCAATATGGATGCAGTGCATTATCATTAGTGTCTATAATTAATCCATCAGACTGGAGAGTCATTAACACAACAATGATGGATGCCCCTTGAGACAATCAGCCTGTCCTGTTTAACCCTGTGCTGGCTGTCAGGACTAGTTTCCTCATATAAGCTCTTGCTGGGCAGCAGCCATTAGCCCATGAGCTGCTCCAAATCCCCTGACAACTTCAAGCTACAGCAAATGTTAACTAGACTAATTGATCTCTTCATGGCATTTCATTTGACGCAGAAACCAAACCTACAACAATCCACTTACAGTAGAGCTCTGTGGACTGCTTTGTCATTTGTGGTAGAATAACCAGAGGGATAGGAGAAATACCTTTCTGGAGCTCCCTCAGAGAATGTGTTGGTTTGATTCTGTAGTGAGAAGGTAGTAGGACCCCAGCACTTCTCTGGCTGGATTGGAAGGGACTAGTGAGTCCTAGGCTCACTAGGACTAGGCTGAACTTAACTGGACTGAGAGCAATGGTGTTTTAGTTGGGGCTGTGAGGAAGCCATTCTTTCTTAACTTAAATTTCAAAATGCTTAAGACATTAGAAAGTGAAAGTGACCTAAATTCAGTGTTGATCCTACCACATGGGGTTCTTCTGCAGGAGGACTAGAGTGAATGCAGTATGGGTTTTGATGTTGAATCCATTCCTTTGTTTCTTTTTTTCTGTCTTCTAGTCCAGCAATCATGGTCAGCTTCACATAGGATGTAAAGTTTTGCAAAAGTATTTCTTAAAACCAAATATCATGGAAACAACCTGTGACATAATTTAGTAACTATTTCTGAAGCCCCCATTTTAATATTCTACAACAGCAGGTGCCAGCCCTGGTCCTGGAGTGCCACAGTCCAACATATTTTATGGGTCACCTGCCCTTAGAAGTTTTTGCTCTAATTTTTTTCCCACTAATACAGGTGAGCTGTTCAATGAATCAGAGATCGTGTCACGGCCGCACATAATCAGAGACTAGCCCCCTACAATTCCCGCAAGCTCCGACACATAAACTAATCATCCAATCACACCTCTCAGTCACCACCACACCACCTGCTTCCCAGGGTACTTAAGGGCTCATTACCATCACCACTGCGCTCAGTATTGGGTTTACCAGTGGAGCTCTCTGTTCTTGTCCTCGACACTTCCTGATTGTTGTTAACCTCCTGAACCTCCGGGTTCTTGACCCGTGCTTCGTCCAAGACTACGATTTCTGATCCTACGACTTCGTTAAGTACACCTGGCCTTCCCTAGACCTGTTCCTTCCTTGTTGTCGAGTTCCGCATAGGGTCAAATTCTACCTTTATTTTGGACTGCTATCCATAACAGATCATTGAAAATCCCAACACTTGACTGCCATCAAGAACCAGATTTGGCTAAATTAGCCAATTAAGTTAGTCAACATAATAAAAACTACTTTGCTCTAAGTCTTTAGGATTCCCAGCTGGACTGAACTGTGGCTTTCCAGGACCACGATTGCACTCACTGGTTCCATTATATAGCTACTGTATATATTACTATACTGTACTTTTTTATGATATCGATGATGATAAAGATACCAGACAAAGGTGAGAGATGCAACTTGGTCAAATTCTTCCTGCTGATCTGCAGCACAGTATAATCTGTGCTCATCACAGAAAAAAAATGTTCAGACAATAATCTATTTTCTCTAGTTTTTAATTCTGTAAACTTGTGTGCGTTCAATTTCAAAGTCCTAAATATTAAACTAGGAAATTTTCAAACAGGATGACATTTATAAACTGCACCAATAGTGTGTTCCGTGGAATTAATCACAACACCCATAAACAAATGTGATGTGTAGTGTGACATTGTCTTACATAAGGATGTGTAATTAAGAAGAAATCAATAAGGCAAACTGATCTTTATTATAAAATCTATAGGGTCAGAATACATCACCACAGTGAGTATGACACAGAGGAGAATCAGTCTGAGTTGCCACCTTTCTTAGTAGATGGGGAATTCTTGCTTCATCAAGGAGGGAGTTAAAGGCCCACATTGAACCCATGCTCAATGATCACAGTAAAGAAAGGTAGACCAGGGAGTCTATGGAGCAATAACTGTAAACACTAATTCTTAATTAACTGTGATCTTGACTATTAGAGCGGTAGGAATTTCTCGGTGAAATTCACATCCCTGCGTGTTACAGAAAAGATGTAAAATGGAAGAGCTGCACGACAGCAGCCTAGCATTTCCTTTTCTATATTTACGTCACTAGTTGATATTATGTTTTTCTCCATTCTCCCAGCATTGCATTTTATTGAACACATATTGTTTTAATTTGTTCTGTGACCTCACACCTGAAATTACAAATTTAATTTTGATAATCTTTTGTTTCTAATCATTTGTTTTTACCCCCCTAAGTTTTGTTCTTGGCAAAAGCAATTAATTAAGAACACATAATTTTGCCATATAATGCATTTGAAATTACAGATAGAACGTCTGTCTCCCTGCCTGAATACATCTGTTGACTTTGATGATAATGAAAGATGCTAATCGACTACTGGAATGTGCTGCCAGTTTACAATTCTTAAGGATTTTTTATGGCTCCTTTGGAGAAATTGCATTTTCTGATTCATTATATTTCCTGGCACCAGCTGACGTGATTGTTCTGTCTTCCCTGGCTAGGTATATTTTCATTCAGTACAACAGATGTTAACTCCTTGATGCAAAGAGGGCATGTGAAGTAAAGACATAGTACAGGATTGTAACAGAACAGCACAGTGTCGATACCTGCTCACCTCTTGGCAAACACTTGAGGTACCACAGTCCATATGCCAGGAATCCTGCTATCCGTATGCACTGGTGAACTCTCAGCAAAGTAACAGCAGGCAGACAAAGACTGCATCTCTATCACACCTCAGCCACTTCTATAAAACTTCAGATTCACTCAATATAATCCTAACCATAAATAGGGTGTTACTTTATGCATATTGCATTTAAATAATTGACGGTTCTCATTAGGTGTTACCTTACTAACAAAGACAAAAAGACTGAAATGCAAAAAAGACAAGATTTGCAATGCAAAACATCCAATTTAAGCCAAAATCATCTCTGTGTGCATGCAGCCAGACGGACAAAGGCAGTCTGTGATGAGCATTGTAAAAGCGCACCCGTGAGTGAGATCACAAGCAGAAGGTAATTGGAGTCTTGCCTTCTTTCTGGTGCGCGGTGTGTGTATGTGTGCTGGGGAGCAGAGGTGGGGGGGACATTAAAGAAGTCCAACCGAGCTTTAGTGTTCACAGTCACTGATAAGATGCACGGTGTGAAACCTGAAATATTAATGACAAAACACTGAGGATTTATTTTATTCGCACGTTTCTTCTTCACATTGCGCTTTTGTCCATTCATGGCAACTGGTCTGCGATGAAAGGTTCTGAGAATAAGACAGGTGCCATTCGTGATCCCCCTGGCTGGTCATGGTCAGCAGAGATAAGAGCACAACCAAGGGCAATGCAAATTCCTATTTCCTCTCAATAATGGATATCCATCATTGTAAAAATGCAAAAAAAGTTGTACATCATTAATGCACAATACATTGCAATCCTGCTTGAATTTATGCACTCAAATGGCAAATCCTTTTATTTATGACTGTTATTAGTCTCTACACATATTCTACTATGTCCACTGCCCCTTAGTGCTTTTTCCCTCACGCACACGCTGTACTGTGCTCATATGCTTAAGGCATACATGGCCTGGATTGCACAGGCAGAAACATGTACTTCAGCTCACATAGGCCAATACACCAATATTGCACGCGCATTTAGGGCATAGCATATACACTAACAAAATGTCAGCTGAAAAATGAAATGACATGAAAAATGGCTAGATTACCAGTCTGAAAACTGTGGAAAATGTGGAAAATTGATGTGCAAGCACAGTACAAATATCAGAATAAGCTTGTATGGAAAGAGGCAGAATCCATCTTTAACACAGAGGCACAATTTTTTACATACATGTAAAATAAGGAGGCACACACATAAATAGAAACCGGTGTTTACACTTAGGACTCATAAGTAAAGACACTTGGAAGGCTTCGAGGCTGCCTTTGAAAGCAGGCAGTGATCTGGACTTTAACACCATCCAGTTTTTAACACCAGCCATTCACTGCGATTGGAATCGACATCCTGTCCTAGCAGTAAGAGAGTTTAAAATCAGACTTGCTGTGTAGATGGAAGTATTGCAATTTCTCTGGGCAGATAAGAGGTCTGTGTATCTGCTCCACTGAAATATTCATTAAGGGTGATCTCGTTTTCTCATCTTCGTCTTCCGCACAAGTCCCAGCAGGCTGATGTTAAAGATTATTTCCCATAAATGCCTGTTTTTATGTCCTCAGGTGATCTTTTTTAAGAGGGTTTTGTTCTTCTTCATATTGGATTCATAGAAGGCCACCAGCCATGGAATAATTAATAAGGTGTCTTGTGTTTCTTTTCATATCAGCCCTTTAAGTACAAAGGGCATCCATGCTCATTATTAAGATTTTATTTAGCTTTGCAGAATATTATCATCCTCTAATTTTGTGATCTCTTTTGCATCTACATCCACCTCCTGTAAAATGGCTAAAAGCAATGACATATTACAGCAGTGCATATTAACACAAGGGGGGTTTAAGGAACAGGACAAGCTTTTAGTCACAGCATTGTTCTTCTCCTGAGCCCACTGTGTTTTTGTGTGTGTGATGAGAACTCCTAATCAGAAGCAGTGCCTGAGAGCACCAGAGTCCCCCATCTGTACTGAACCCATCTCTCCACATCAGCCGTGCTCAGTGCCTGCACGCTTAAAACAATTTAGATTTTTTTCTTTGTCCCTGTATAAAAGAATATGTAAGAAACTCTCCTCTAAACAGGAGAGGGAATCACAGCTGAAATGAGACAGCATTGTGAGAAACCCATGGATTTTACAGTACAGTGCTCTCCAAACGTAGTGGGACAGCAAAATGAAAACTAGTTTTGATTTTGCATTCAAGCAATGTGCATTTGAGATTATAAGATTAATAAGAAGGAAAAGTGCAATATTCAATATTTTGGAGTAAATCGACGCATCACTTTTATTTCACTTTATTTAGAACAAATATGTACTTTTTCTTTATCCAGGTGATTTCAGGTGGCTGTAGGTACTGGGAATTATCCATTTTAAGAACATAAGAACATTTGAAATGTTACAGATGAGACAAGTCCATTCAGCCTCTTGGCAGCTCTTGGCATCTAGAATTTAATTGCTCCAAGTATCTCATCCAGCCATTTCTTGATTAAAGATCCCAGGGTATTGGCTTGGGGACAATGGCTGACCAGATACTTCCATACTGCCACAACCCTTTAGGTAAAGAGGTTTAGAGGTATTTGCATTTGCATTTGAAAACAGGAAGCATGGTTGTGCTTCACCATGCAACATGACAATGATCCACGATATACTGCCAATGTAACCAAGGAGTTCCTCTGGAGAAAAAAGTGGAAAATCCAAATCAATGGTTAAGTCAATCTCAAATTTTAAAGGCAATTGAGCACACATTTAACATACTGAAGAAAATTTAAAATTAGGTTGGAACACCCCAAGAAAAGATAAGAACCCAAAGTGGCTGCAGTAAAATCTTGGCAAATGATTAGGAGTCTGGTGCACTCAATGGGTGGCCGATATCATGGAGTTATTGTCATGAATGGATATTCACCTAAATTTTACACCTGAAATCAAGGGTGTTAATTAAGTTAACTTTTGGGGCCTTAGGCAAGTGATTTGTAGCAATGTGATGAGGTGAAAGTGATAAGGAGGGGATTTTGTTTGCTGAGGGACATGTTGTTCCTTGTTCTGTATTTGGATTCCTATATTTTTATACCTTACACTGTTCACAAAAAACAAGTACCCTCTGCTTCTATTAACACTCTTAGGCATTTTTAAATTGGAAGTAAAACATGTTGTTTTTGACTACAGCTGGTTTTAATGCTGTGTTCCTGGGTGTCTGTTACTGATAGCAAGCCTCTGTGTTTTCAACAGAGAAATTAATAATCGTTTGTTAATGAGGGGCCGGTGCTAGTAGAGATCACCTTGACTGGGGCAGATCAATAGGGCATTGTAATTAAAGAGATGCTTAAGTGTGGGGAAGTCAACACTGCCAGTAAATAAAGCATGGAGCCAGGGCTTTCTGGAGTCAGAGTGGCTGGCAGAGAGAAATGGTGAGATCTACTCCAAGCAATCCATTAAGCACAATGCTCCACGCACATACACAGGCAAACTCACACATTCCTTGAAAAGTACATGTGTAATAGCATAATCAAAGATATGAACAAAACTACGACATGCACAGACATATCCTAAGGCAAACACAAAAATATAACAAGTCAGATTAAATGTGCAGCAACAGGCACACCAGCATGCAGTTAAGACAAAAAAGAGGCACTCACACCTGCACACAAATTGAATTTCAATTTGGAAATGAGCTTTTTTCTTCTTAATGGCACGCCTTCTGTTACAATGCACACAGATAACCTGGCAAATCAATGTACACTCACTAATAAAGCATTTTGTTACGAGACCTAACTTTTCAGGAATATTAACTCAATCTGCAGAAACATATTGATTGCTTTGGGGGAGTGCATTTTAAATTGAAACATGTATGGTCTGTTGAAAAAATAACTAGCCTCTTTCAGTTCTAAAGGTCACCCGTGCCCTGAATGAAGAAGTAATGGACTAAGCCAGGTTTGTATGAATCCTTGTATTATTTTTCCCTTTTAAAAGATTGCATTAGGTTCCAGACCATGTACAATTTAAGTGTTCATTTACATTTGTACAACATAAATAAGCATTTAAAAGACTCTTGTAATACAGTAAACATCTGCTCAAGCACCACAAAAAATAATAAAATATAAAATAATTAGAGATTGTCTTAGGGAGGGTTATAATAAATACCTCGAACTTTCAGCAACAACCTGGATTTTAAAACTAATCTTACATTTTTATTTAAACAACCATCATAAACGTTTACTGTATTCAGATTTGTCACTAATCTGTTTCCTCAAAATGTGTTCACCAATTATATATTGTTGTAATGCTTACTAAAAACTTGTGTTTGATATTTCATCTGTTTTCAAAATTTGTCTTTCAGTCTAGCTTTTACCTTTATTTATTTAACAGCCTTCACTAGAAAAAAGGACCCATTGAGAATAAAAATCTAATTTCCAAGGATGTCAAGGAGGACAAAACAGCAATGTGTGTTTCCAGATTAATTTGCTTTCTTTAGGCCATCTTGACAACAGAGGTTTACAGTAAACACACAGTTTGAATTATGACCCCTGTGAGTTTTGTGGCCAGACTCCTGCTGCTTGTTCACTGGTAGGGATTTCTTGGCAGTACATGACTAGCTCATTTGTTATTGAATCAGGTGAGGTCAGCTAGTTTATGACAGTGATTTATGCATACAGTGGTCTGTTCTGAGACAAAAGCTGACATTTTTGATTAAATGAATGAATCAATCAGATGTTTATCCTACAGTATTTTTTAATGTTATAGCACAGGCTGCAATTTAGAGTGGTTGTCAGGGTTTTGGACTCTGGACAAGTGGGTTATGGGTTCAAATCTCTGGTAGGATGATGTTGTACCCTTGAAGCAAGGTACTTCGTTCTATAACCTGCCAGTTAACTACTCTGCTGTATAATAGAATTTGTTCTAAATTGACTAAAAAAAGGGATAAAATGTTGCAACTTGGTGTAAAGATTAGGAGAAGAAAAGAACAACAGTGAGATAAATAAAAGTTAAGTGGTGACCAATGCTAGTGGGAATCAACTCTCCTGTACATACCTTGTAATGTGTCAATAGATTAATAGATTTGGGGCGTCACCTAATGTGTTCACCCAAATCCAGGTTAAGGTTTATGATCCAGGTGTTGTGAATTTGAGCCATCTTGTCTTCTGGGATTCCCCAGATGGTGGTACTCTGACAAGGGAAAATGAGGATTTGTCTCTTGGTGACACAGTGACGCATGTAATCTTATTTTGCCGTCAGTGAGGGGCACACCTCTCCTTCACCCGGCACTGAACCTCTGGTATGGCGTGGTAGGGTGTGCTAAAAGATGGGTGGCTTGAAAGTAGATGAGTGGGAGGAGTCTGCCTCCATTTCCTCATTCTCCCCCAAGTGCAGATGAGGTGATTCAAGACATTAAAAACAAACAATTGGTAAATACGGTGGGTAAAATAAACTTAATTGGCAAGTCTAAATTGAAGATGAGATGAATGATGGCTTGATGTGTTGGAAGAGCTTTTCTGTTCATCCTTTTTCTCCTCAT